TTCGACCAAGTCACAGTTTCAGGAGGCTAGCGCAAAGATAAATCAGACTTGTTTCGACTCAGCTTTATCGTGTGTCTATAGAAAGCGTAACAACTTCCATCAAAGCGTATTGCTTTTGGTAAATTTGGGACGAATAATTCACTCACTTACGTAATTATAGGCATCGAAAGTTCCCTTTGGCGCCATTCATTTAATGGTGGTTTATTCACTTGTTTCACGATAATACAAGATTAAAAAATACCAAAGTGGAAGAGATACCGAGCAAACTGAACAAAATCAGCATTGTAGTCAGTTTATTTGTTTTATGGTCAAAGAAAATAATACAATGATGTATTCAGAGTAAGGATAAGGCAGACACTCAACTGTAAAATGAGACCGCCAGGGCCCTTAGACCTCTCAATTCAGAACAAACGTGGCTCCATTTCAGAGGTGAGTGTACGCTTATGCATTCATTCGTGGTCTCATTAAACGCAAAAACGAACAACAGAACTGAAACCCTCATCAAAACACGTATCTTTTGCCTTAACTTGCTTGTCATTTAGTATAGGTCAGAAAAAAGGAAAAAGACAATAGGTAAATCTTTTCCTACTTGTTCATTCAACACGTTAAAAATTAGTATTGCGGTAACCAATCGCAAACAAATTTTTCTCAGTTATTTCAAGAAAGGCCTAAAAAAACAAGGTAGGTAAAACACTGACGTTCTTTGAATAAAGTGTCTTATTCTTCAGGATACTGGTTTTGATTAATGCAAACCAATTTGGAACTGAAGAGCAATATTCGTTTAGCACGTCTTGTGGAGAAATTAAGAAACTGGTTTAGTCCCTTCGCCACACGTGGGTCTACTTATGGTTTTAATGTTCTAACTGCTGTGATGGGAATCTTTCACACATTTAGACAATCAGTGGACCCACACGTTGTGCAGGGACCGAACAAGTTCCTTAATTTCTCCAGAAGACGTGCTCAAGCGAACACTGTTCATTAGTTCCTATTGGATTGTCCTGTTTTTGTTCCAGTTTAGAGCAGTCAGAGACAGAGAGGAATGAGCCATGAACCAGCTTTAACCTCCGCCAAAATATTGTTCATAAGCGTAACTAGAAAGTAAAACATTTCGAAGCGTGCTGGACTGTTGGTGTATTGTCATCCTACAAGGTGAAGTCATCGCACTTTCTCTTTAAGGATCTTCACACACTTCTCAGGTACTCTATACCTCAACAAACTGATCCATGGTGTGGTCCTATCGACAGAGTCGAGAGCCTAGCGGATATCTAGGAACACAGTGATCGTTGGTGTTTGATAGGCCTCACAATGCTCTAGCAGCTAACAGAAGTCAAATACCTGTCCGATGCAATCACGACCGGTGCAAATTTAAGGCTGCTCCTCGCGGTTCTGCTCCTCGTGCATATTGTACAGTTGGCGAAGAATGACGGGTGTTGATAGCTTTGATGTTGTTGGGATCAAGATTATACCCCTTTGATTGGCGCAGTTACTGTGTGGGCTCTTTTCCAAAGATGGAGACGACAGTCGATCCCCCCCCCTCCATGGGGAGGTAACATGCGCAGTTTACCAAACTCTAGAGAACGAAGTCACCAGTTCTCTAATAAACTTTATTCCACTACCTTTAAGTAGAAGGTGAAGGCCATCGGAGACCGGCGCTTTCTGAAGTCGCAAGGATAAGATCTCCTTACGGATTTCCGCCTCAGAAAGGTTGGTTTGTTGAGAAAAACCATGGGATGTTTGCCAGAGCAGCTGTGTGAGAAGCTGACGCCGATGGTCAACTAAATAAGGGGCCTCGAAGTGCTCCACCGATCGTGCAAGACGTCGTTGTTGATCGTGAATGAGTGAACCGTCAGCTTCGTAGATCGTTTCGCTTACACACAAGACAGTGTACGGAAATTTCCCATATCCGCAGCAGGTTACATCTCTGATGCACGTTGAGTTCACCAGATTTCGCAGAGGCGGAGTAAGCCTTAGCTGAGGTTATAACTATAGTTAGCTAAATAACTTTATTTAGGAATCGTGTTTTATTATGCTCGCTGAAGGTCGGGATTGATTGGCGTGCATCAAAAAAGTGTAGAGNTAGAGAGCACGCAGAAATTTAGGGTGTCATGGCACGACGTGTCAGACCACGACTAAGCCAGAGGAATGCATTGTATTCTTAATAAACGATCACTGATGGTTGATATTATCGTGTGAGATTGGCTCTAGCTTTTCAGCGAGAGCGTTTTGAAAAACAGGCCAAAACCTTTTGCTTTGTTATTCTACTCATAGATCAGCTGAGTAACATTGATCATAGCCCGGATCGACAGTTAAAAATAAGTTAAGGGAACTTTTTCCGATAACCTAGGTGTGAGATTTGGGTTCGAGGATTTGTAAAACCTGATGCTGGTGTCTTTGACTCGATTAAAAACAAAGATGTTTTGCCTGAACTCCCAAAGAGTTTTCCTTGCGGAGATTCCAAACATAAACAGCTTTTGTCCCATTGGTTGTTCCTCTGAGAAAACAGACTGTTAACCGGCTTTATTTGCAGTTTTTCAACTGTTTGAGTTAAATGGCAAGAAATCATCTGAGAAGGAATAAACGATTGCATTTTACTAAATAGCGGAGAGCCACAGTGATTCCCAGGTCCTAACATAAACTCCTCATTTTCTATCACCAATCAAAATGACGATAAGAGATTTGTGTAAGAAATCAACCTAACGTACATTCCATGGCCTCAAACTCGAACCCGGTCAAATTGCCATTCGGTTCGGCTGGCAAACTCCAGGTAATGTCAGCGTAGTTCACACTGACTACCACGGCTCTCAGATTAGCCACCGGTCCGGGCACGTCTTCCAGTGTAGTCAAAGTCACTGTTGTCCTGATAGACAGGAATGTGAGAGAGGGATGGGTGGGTAGGTGAGGGAAGAAACAAAGGAAAGTGAAAATAATAGTCACAGCGTATGAGAGAAACGGAGCCAGACAGATCGGACACGCTTATAGCAAATCATATATGACTCTCCTACTTAGCATTCATCACCACGGGAGGAAACCCGAGGGATCGACAGAGTAGACTCGTACGGTTATGCGGAACATATCGGACGACTTAAGGAGAAATGGTGCCTGGTATTTTGTGAACCGTGTGTTTCGAATTATTTAATTATGTGCCACACACGGACCTACTTTAAACTATCGATGAAAAATATTTTTTTTATTTATAGGTAATTAGAATGTAAGGAGCCTTGTTTTTTCTGATATTAAGTTGTACACATCTGTACTAGGCCTATGGATAATGATATAGACTAGCATGACCCAAAGATATACGGCGCTTGGCGTTATAGTAGGCGTCTTATCGGTGAGAGAATCACTCAACATGGATAAAACAAAATTACCTCAAATATCACTAAATGTAGTATCTCGTGAATGAACAAAATCGTTTTCTCTCGTAGTCTCCTATGAATAAAGAATAAGCTGTACACGAGGCTGTTCATTGTAACGATCATCGGATGTTCAGAAAACAGGTAGCCATTGAGCTACAACAAAATTCAGAGCATGCAATAAAAAAGTCCTCTATGTTTTCCATAGAAAAAGCATCAATGGTTTTATCTTACAATCATCCTCACTCGTATCTCATCTTTCGGCAAAAAAGAAGGAAGAACCCACCTACTTTAGTCATTAAAGGTGTAAAAACATATTCGCCGTCCAAAATCAATACAAACTAGAGTTTCTCATCGTATTTTCCCTACAAACTGAATGGACCAAAACGAGCATAATGTGGGTAATTCAGAAGGTTATTTGATTAACTCAACAGTACATACAATAATACAGTTTGAAGTAATGCATCAAATTTCTTATTTCCCGTCATGACCGGTATTATGAAATCGATTGTAAAAAAAATTATTGATCGTTCTTTCCCGCTGACGAGTAAACTCAGTTGAACTATCTAATCACATCACTTAGTAAAGGTTGTGATCAAGCGATATCAGTCACTTACGCCGACTTACACCTGGCCCCCAAGGTCTTATATGCGTCCCTAATCACCGAATTTCGATGGCAGGAAACAAATCTGTTGTCAGCACAACGCCACAACTCTCCCATTGGGATTCGATATGGTTTCAATACAAGTCTTAGGGCTTATGTTGCCGAAACCACATAATTATATAGTTGGTACTGATTTTTGGGTACAAACACACACTAAGGTGTGTAATTAAAAACTAAAACGATATAGGGCACTGAATGGATATCAACAGATACGATGAACTGGTCCTTTGTAAACCAGTCACCTCAGAAAACTCGATGAGATCCCATGTAGCCGTAGATGAGCATCATATTGTGTACAATGCTGACAAATCACATGGGAATCAACTAAACTCTCAGTGACTCATTGGGCTGGGTTGTTCCCAAAGTGACTCCATTTAGAGGTATATAAATCACTATTTTAATGTAATCCTTCGACAGACGGTCTAGAAACCAGATATTACATAATAGAATGAGAATATCTTAACTAATTTAGAGTGTCAAGATTGGATTAGCCCATTCGATTGTTCAGAGCACCAGGCACTCTTAACTAATGGTTCCAATGTGAGTGGTAGATCCCTGGTTTCTGGCTAACTGGGGATTATTTTACACTGAAGTCACAGTTGTTGAATTCGTGGAGCTGGGTGTCGCTCTCTTCATGACAAAACGGATCGGTTAGGTGAAATTATTTTCTTCAGTTATCTTGATTACTCGTTCATCAAATTGGTTTGGTGATACCAAATTTGCAAGTACTCGGTCCGGAAAAATTACCACAGCCGTTAAACTCTCTGTCCGTCATTTGAAACAGATCAGGGAATCCAGGGTGAACTTGATGCATGGACGGAATGAATAGCAGAGTTTCAGGTAGCTTTAAGAATTAACTTCTTCTTGTAATAAATATAACAAAATTAGAAATTAGACAGAATCTATCTTGATCATGTGGCACGAATAAATCACCGCGATTCTTGAGGACGCTCAACTGTCTAGTTCTTTCACCACAGTTGTCTCCTGAGTGAGCATGACTCAAAATTTTCATTAATCCGTTTTACCCCAAAACCTGTATCTAGTTTCCCTTACTTGATAATCATGTCTGACGGATTCCGATGCTCACATGCAATCCGAGTGACAAACAATGACAAAGGAGAGAGATCTGCTAAAATGACTTTGCAAATGGGTGGCTCAGTCTACATGCATCTGGCTGTGCTGCTGGTCAAACATGTTCAAACTGCATGGGCAGTCATACTGAACAGAGGAACCGCCTATTGGGATCGCGAAAAGCCACAAATGTGAACTATGGTCGATCTGAGATGACCCGTCTCTGCGAGTATGTACGCGCGCGCGCGCGCGGGCCCCCGACAGGGCGCATTTATTCCGTCAACCTACGTCTAACTGTTTAATCGGGGTATTAAGAAAGACAATTTGCATTTTCACAGTCATTTATCGCTAACTATGAGCAGGAAATCTATCATTGTCATTTGGAATGCAGCAGTGGCGAACAAACAAAATGGTGAGTTCTGGTCGTTTACAGTTTATCTGACAAAAAATTTGTGCAAATGATTGGAACGAAGTTATCAAAACAGTTTGATAATAAATAAAATCAACGGTATTTAAGCGTTTCGTCTTTTTTGGCAAACACTTTTTCGGTCTGTCTTATTTGCTTTAGGTAATCAACAACCACAAGTAAATTCAAGGCTGGAGAGGTTGTTTAAAACAGAATTCTGATTAAGTTCACTATTACATCCTTCCGATGATTCGTCCATTTGTCCCAGAAATGGAAAATACGGGGACGCCAAACAACGGCACAATATTACTTCGACTTATAAGCACAAACTGACTATTTCGATGTTATAGAATCTTTTAACTAAACAATGTGGTTCACCCTGGAGACTAACTGATCGATTTCTTGATCGATTGACAGAATATAACTAACTGAATTACCGCAGTAATGTGCCCTGAAGGACTGGAAACTTGGCAGAACAGGAATAATTTGAAATCATTTCAAACTGTGAGGCTAACAAAGATTATTACAAAATGAACATTACAAAGAAACATATCACTAATAAGGTCAGTGGCTGTGCTTCTAAGTCCGTGACGGATTCACATGTTCGGATTTTCCAAACCAACTGGCCAAATTTCAGTCCATGTAAAGATAGTCACTGATTCTGATAATGTTTCACAGGGCATAATGAAACTGTGAGCTGAATCAATGCGATAAAATTGCAAGAAATCAAGTGCATCCTGCAAGCGTCTTCTGCCAGATGTCGTTCACGTGGGAAAGCATTTTGACTCATTATATCTTATTCATCTGAGGGGTTTGTTTTCATTGGTTAAAGTCGATTCGAATTTTAAGCATCAAGACCCGCTAAGCAGTTTCTTTGTGATATCAAAAAGTAAACAACAGTTGCGTGATTGGTCACACGCCCACACATGGGCAGAAGTTGGTCCTTATCCTTGCAACTCTATTTATTCCTGAAACCACTTGTTAGAATTCGCCCTGTGTTTACCGTGATGATGATTTTATACCGCATTTTGAAACACAAGTGCAGACACCGGTGCGATCAATTACGCATATCCAAACACTTATCATAATCAATAAACATATTCAAATAAACATGTGGTTCTGAGTAGATTTATTATTGGCATGAGATAAAATAATGACGAATTCACAATGGTATAATCAGGCAGAATTTTTAAATATAATGTCGGGTAAATGGGAACTGAAAAGCGGTCTGATCAACTGTCCGGCGGGCGAGTGGGTAGCACACTTGCGTTCTGCCTGCGAGGTCCCGGGTCTGATCCCCAGTTGGGTGGATGGATTCGCACTGCCGATGAGACCCAACGAGGTCGAAATAGCTGTACAATGCTTCCTAGTCTTTTATTCCACCCTTCCTTTGCCCTTTGCACAACGAATTTAACTTTCAGATATAATAAGTTTACTAAAGGAACCAGGATACGATTCGAAGGAGGTGAACCTACAAGATGAAACGAACAGTGATTTTACCTATGCGAAAACCTTGCCCGATTAAAAGTCATTAAAGTTACTAACCCCATGGGACCAGCAAATCGGGTATTTAAAATTCGCAGCCACAGACGTATTGAAGTCGCCCCGGGCACGCCCGTTAACGTGTAATTCACCACTTGTCCATATTGAAAATTCGATGACTGGGGTGCATTCAAATTCGATTGGGGTTGGAAAGCGTTTGACGTTAGTCGAGGCACACGACTGAGAACGGCTTCGCCCAGAATTGACGGTGATTGTGCGGCCCGAGGGAATAAACCGACCCCGGGGCATGAGACATTTCGTTCCGGAGTTTTCTGGCAAATTTCGGACGTATAACCCAATGGCAAATAACGACTGGGCAGTGTCATCTCGATAGTTGTATCATTATGCGAGGATTTCACATCCATGACCGAACGACGCTTTCGGTAGGTGTAGAGTACCGGTGTCTTAGGATATTGTAATATTACATCCTGTAGTTTGGAAAAGGTAAAATTTTGGAAAGTTAGGTTTTGGTAATACACAGTTACGGAAACAGTCGTGACTTAAGAATATGCATAATGGCTTTTTATTTGAGATGAATATTAGAAGTAACGAAGTTCATTTGTGTATCGTTTGGGAACTTACTAAGTGGAAACTACCAAGAATTATGCAATCGGGCACGGCGATGATGAATATAATGGTATTACAGTCTGCGTAGTTTTCGTCTCTGTCGTGAATGAATTATGATAGTAAACCTCGTTTTGTAGGCTAAGCCTATCGGTGCAGATTAGAAAGAAAAATTGAACAGGTTAGGAATAAAAACACTGAAAACAAATGTTTGCCGGCGATCCGTGTTCAGATGTTACAAGCTTGACTTCCTGCTCGGATTCAACCAAATACAAGTGTGCACCATCCCCTTGTTAGCAAACACATCTGCAAGGGTTTGACACTATGATTGGACGAAAATCTTCAAACTAGCCTCGACCTTTGTCCTTACAAAGTTATGGGGCTAGTACGCGTAGAACAGACTCGTGTTCGTATTTGAGCTGACCTTTTATTGTAAGATTGTAGGATTGCTTTTTGAAGGAACTTATAGCACAGTGAAGAAACGAATACACCTATTCCATCGAACAAGTTGGCAAGTTGGCCTGTTCTTTCGATTATCGACCTGATCCCGAGAAGTCCGTTCACGTATATTGTTCGATCGGTTGTCAAATCATTCATCCTGGGTATTTAGTTTCCAGGATAAAATAAACAAATGTCTTTGACTGTCTCTCATCTCCATTCGAATAACCAATCAGTGAAAGACGTAAATGTTCTGGCGAAATGCGATAAAACTTCCATCACCTTTCGTTTGACTAGGTCCCTTTACCAGTTTCAAGAGATCAAGAAGAAGCGTAATAATGATCCCATCATTTTCCGGTTTGTCCTTCTTTAGTGACTGCTGTGTGCCAAGAACAAAAATATTGGAACACCAGATTTCGTTATTTAGATATATTGGTGCGTTTTCTTCGGGGATCTGAAATGAACAACCTTTTTATCGGAAAACAACATGGTGCGGTCAGTAACGGCAGCTCTTCACGTTGTTGCACGTGAATTACAAACGTGGACTTGTAAAGGCACTGTTTCATTGAAACCCAAACATTTGGTACATCACGAAAAGATAAATTCCCGAAATAGACGGTACTACGAAATAACTACCCAGAAAGATCCATTGAAATTCAAGATAAAAAATCTCGAAAAGGTGATTCACCTTCAGCTGTGCCAAGAAGAGCTGTCTCTGTCTGAGGTGCTCACCTTCAGAACGATGTATGCCAAAAGTCAAAATCAGATCTAGACCTTAAAGTTCCAGCCGCTCAACTTCGATATATTGTCTCTAATCGAGGAATTCACTTGGACGAAAGTGAACGGGGTTGACAAACTACTTTTGTCTCATATACTGTGTATTAGATCACATGCAGTTGCGTTGATGCGTACGTAGGCATACTACAACGTCATCTATCACAAAGAATAGTCGGACACATTGCAATGTGGTTGACGAAGCCCGTGGCGCGCAACCGACAACCGATGCAAAAGAAACCCTGGGTCTTCTATTACGAGGGTCCTCATGAAAACCAGACGCGCAATTGGACAACTCTTACCTTTCCACGCAACTGCAAAGCCAAATTTTGGGCAAAAAGTTATGTGTTACCCGAAATTTGTGCACGCAATCAATCCCTTTCTGCGCGAAGTTCAGCTTCCATACTTTTATTTTTGTCAATCGTTGTTTCTCCACTATCATTATTCAAAACAATGTGGCACGTGTTGGCTAGCTTGTTTTACGTTAGCGATCGAGGAGAATAAACGAAATAGACGCAATATTGCTTAATTCTGTTTGTCTATTTATTCCCTGCTTTGCCTCGTCATGTTGTAGTAAGAAAGCCAAGTGTTGGAAAGCAGCCACCTCGTATCCAGTAAAACGCTACCTCGTACAACTATACTTACGAGGGTTCGGTTCTCTTAAAACATATAATCCGGTGAGAGAGACCAGTTGGAAGATAAAACGAATGTTCCATCGATGGTTGTTAGTCTCTTTCACAACAGGGTTCAGCATCACAACAATTGACCACTGCGAGACGAGGAGTTTAGACTGATGATTTCGAGAACCGATGTGAACGGTTAGCTCACTCCTCACTCCTGTCAGGTCACGTATTCAAATATCACGCAAGATCTCAATGCAAAACAAACCAAGCCTAATCCTCGAGATCCAAACTGTTGAATGCTAATCACTTAGCGTTCACAAATCGGACAAGTGTCCAACAGAACTTCAAACCCAGTATACCCGACGGTTATGTTTGCGACTTATTCTCTTAGAAAACTTTATGAGGTTTGTCAAAGTTGTACGATTTGGTATGTGAAACATGTCGGACTAACTCGAATTGGTGCAGTTTGTTCGAACTGAATTGGGGGATCATCAAACTCCTTCATCTATCTACTATATTTTGAAATGATCACGGGGTTCCGAGCTAGACCTTTTCCATCCGAAAAGCAGCAATCAGTTCCTTTGACTGACCACTTTGCCAGTCTCATTAACATATCAGGGCCCCATAGCCCCAGTAGAAGTTGTCACAGCCGAAGCTCTGTGTGAACAGGGAAAATCGGTCACGGGGACCCAGTGTGTTTATCATGCCATCAAATTCGCAGTATGATGTCAGTTAACCCCCTGGTGAACATACAGTCTTGGCAGCAACGTCCTACAGTGACACACTCTCCCTCCCCCCCCCCCCCCCCCCCCCCCCAAACACTCAGATAAGTAAGCATCAAACTAGTCTGCAGTTTTGGTACATGCATGATGCGTCATATCAGAACTGATAATCATTGAGAACGGTTGTTTGCCATCGACTGTTTATTACCAACTTCCATATTTGTTCAGATTTGATGTTTTTTGCTGTACCCGTGAGCAGAAACCGTGGCTTATTAAAAAAACTTCCTTGTGTTACTCACAGCTCAAGGAAACATAGACACGGAGTTAGAACTTTTATCTAATCAGAATCCTGTTTCAAACCTTTGACTATCGTTGCTGTATGTTAGCTTCATCATCATCATCATCGAATTCCCTGAAGAAGTTTAAAAATGAGAAAAGCTCACCACCTTGCCCAATCAGTTTATTTCCATCGTCAAAATCATATTACACACTGGTTTCACACAGAAACTAAATAACGACAACA